ATATAGCCGGAAAATTCGAACTAGAAACCCGCAACGAACGTGCAGAAAAATAGATTCAATGGTATACAGCCAATGATCAGGTAATAGCCAACACATTGTTCCAGACGGTTATGAACATGGAGGAGCCGATGAGTAGAAACTAAAAACCAAATTGACTACGTAACTATCAACTAAAGATATAGGAATGAAATGGTTCACTGCAAGACCTACCCAAGTGCCGAGACGGAAGTAATCATCGCCCTGTTATATGTGAACTAAGAGTGAAACTACGGAAACTGAAGAAGCCTAATACAGCACCCAAACTGTAATACAACAAACTCCTGAGCGACCCGTACCTGAAAGAAAAATATATGGACAGTGTAAAAAGAAGATACGAGGGACACAACGGAACCGGAAACTCGAAATAGGACGCACTAAGAGAAACTTTAGTGACATCAGCAAACGATATCATCCCAAAGGAGAATGGACGAAGAAGAAAAAAAAGAAATGGATGATTGATGAGATTCTCGACATGACGCAAACGAGACAGAAAATTAAAACAATGAAATAAAGACCAAATGCAGGCAGTCTGAAGAAGAGTGGCTAAACAAAAAATGCTCAGAAATAGAGAGACTGAGTACCACCATACATAAACAATTAAAGGAACTAACAGGACAGAAGACATGCTCGCCAACAGGCTGCATAAAATCAAAGGAGGGAACGCTCATATTAGAGGGGGAAAATTCTTCAGCGCTGGAACAAATATATTGGAGAACTCTTCCATGACAAAAGAGAACAATCGGCGATACACAGAACTACCGACGAGCCTGGAATTCTGAAAACCGAAGTAAAAGCTGCACTGGTCAAATTGAACAGACACATGGTGGCTGGGTCAGACGGAATTGTAACAGAAATGTTGACAGCCCTAGATGATTTTGGCATAGACAAGATTACAGAAATAATAAATGAAATCTACAACAGTGGTGATATACCGGAAGATCTAAGCAGATCTATTTTCATAGCATTGCCTAAGAAACCAGGCGGAAACGAATGTGAACTCCACCGAACAATCAGCCTAATGAGCTACGTAACAAAACTCATCCGTATTCTGATGAATAGAGCGCGCAGCAGAATCAATGCGGGTTCGTTAAAGGCATCGGAAGAAGGAACGCGATATTCATGTCAGAATGTTATCAGAAAGAGCAATACAAGTGTAGAAGGACGTGCACCTGTGTTTTATAGACTACGAAAAGGCGTTCGACAAAGTATGCCACAAAGATCTGTTGGAACTGCTCAGCAACCTTGATATATTTGGGAAAGATATGAGAATAATCAAAAATTTATACTGGCAGCAATCAGCCTGCATATGGATAGGAAATGAATTAAGCAGATATACAAAAATAGAAAGGGGCGTAAGGCAAGGATGTGTCTTCCCACCGGACTTATTCAACTTATACAGCGAGGCAGTTCTGAGAGAACTGGAAATCCTACCAGGACTCATCATTGGCGGCCACAAGTCTTAACAACATAAGATACGCAGATGACACAGTGCTGATAGCAGACACGGAAAGGAAATCACAAAACCTCCTACAGAAGGTAGCGAAGGGACTAAGCATACACTACAAGAAGACAGAATCCATGCTCATGTTGACTTTCCACACTACTTTAAACTAAAGGTTGGTAGTAAAGTCCCATCAATACTAGAAATAGCGAGAACAGTGGACTTGAGAAACTTATTTTCCTGAAAAACTGTTTTAAGAGAAAATTTCAACCGAATGTAACACTGTTCAGTCAATGAATGCCGAATGTTTCCTTATAAGGAGACGGCTCATATCATTGTTACTATTTGAGATGAGAGCATATACTACACTTTCATCCCATCCCGATGTCCAAGTAGTGAAGAAAAACGTATCTCGAGTAGCACTGGTTAGTGGTTTAATGAAGGCCGAACGTTTCCTTATAAGTAAACATTTAATATTAACATTACTAGTAGAGATAAGGAGAACAGATAATAAATTTTGATTATAGCCCAGTCACCAGGCAATGAAGAAAAGCTTAACTCAAGTAGTACTGGATGCTCTCTCAAGGAATACCGAATGATTCCTTATAAGGAGACAGTTAATCTCACCCTTACTATTACCATTATCATTGTTTTGTTGAGCCAACTAATATTTTAAAATTTTGCCTGATATTTATATCTATTACGAGGCTATTGATCGTCATATTCTTTAATGTTGTGGCTATACTTGAGACATTGAGGATAAGGTCAGTTTTTATTTTCATATGCAATAAGATACTAGGAAATTTAAATAGGATTTCATCACTTATAGGTCAGGAAAAGTAACCCAACACTATTGACTTTTGAACTGAGATGACAAGTAACAGATATCCGCTGTATGTAACTGTGTTTTCCATTATATTTTAAATAAAAAGTAACGAATATTTTTCAAAATATATTTACGTCGACATTAAATTGATTAATTTTCGTCGAATCTGCAATGGCTACTTTATTTTGGAAAAATATTTAATTTCAAAGTTTAATTTTTGTATGTCAGCAGACGAAGTTAATTTTAGATGATAAAAATTAACATGACAAAATAGTAGTGAATTAGAAACATTATAAAACCCCTTTTCATTGGGAAAATGAATTGTTCATGATTGTTTATGTAATTTTCTTGTAATTAAAACCAAAATACCCCCCAAACAATGTATTCAAAATACTGCAATACGTTTTAAAATATTTCTTTTTTTTAAGCCTTTTTTCCCTTAATAACAACAGAAAACCTATTCTCTATTGTATGTACAGAGACTCTAAGAACAGACTAAAACATACTTTAAGTTTGCAAAATAATCTTTTATACTATTTTATTCGAACATATTTTGACGTTTCTCTTTTTCTTCAGGACGTGGACGATCATGACCCTCTCCAACTTTTATCTTTTTTAACTTTTAGCAATGTTTGTGCTTTTACTATCTCTCTCTGTCCTTCCAACTATTTACACAAACTCGTCACGTTTTCTTCTCTGTCCCTCTTACCTTCAATATGTCATGTGAGTGTCAAATTCTCTAAGCCCACCTTCCTCATTATGTGTCCGAGAAATTTCAATTGTCACTTTCTGATTCTAAATATAAGTGTCTCTTTTGTTTCCATTTTCCATAAAACTTACACGTTGTCCATGATACAAGCCTCTTCTCGAGGAAATTGTCCAGCATTGGAATAACGAAAGATACCTTCTAAAAGCTAAAATAAAAAATATTAACAAACAGGAAAATTCCGTTGCAAACATAGAAAAGAATGATGAACTGCTGTGTAATATCAATCGATTTAGATGGTAATGATTGATGGACAATTTGTAACAGATGAACAGGAGACTTGGGGAAACACAAATGTGGAGTTATTTACGTATTGATATAAATTTCCGCCTATGCTCTGTGCACCCTACCTCAGAATAATGTGTCACTTCCCAGAAATTCTGTACTTTGGCATCTGACATGAAAATAGTAACACACATTATTTTACCTCATAGTTACCAACATTGTATATGCCTTTTTCCCAACGATGAAAATTTTATGGGTAGACACGCGAAATGTGGCTTATCCTACATATCGCTATCACCACTGTTGAAACACATTAACCACTGCGTGTTATCACATAAACTGTTTAGTTTCACTAAGTATTCAGTAAGCGCTGATGAATTTTTTAATAGGGGCAATTACTTTTGCATAGATCAATGCAATGATCCACTTCTGTTTCATATGTATTTTCATGTCAGATACCATTTTATCAGACTGCCTCTCAACTGTCATCTGTATGAAAGCCAGAAAAATGAGTTAGAAGCAGGAAGGTTCAGTTTCTGCTGCCATACCAACCTCCACTTATTATTATGGGCCAATATAATAAAATAGGTGGCATTACTTTTGGAGTGACTATTATTATATATTGATAAGAACTCAGTTTTATCTCGGCAATTGTTGAAGGCATAAGAAAGTTCCTCATAGAAAATTCATATTTTCAAGAGAGATTCAGGTTGGTGGAAAGCATGAGATTTTCTTGTGAGAAAGAAACAGATAAAAAGCAAGAGATTTTCGGTAAGGGAAAAACGTGTACCTGATTTCATATTCTTCTTCTTCTAGGTACCGTGGCCCTTCAGGCGATCATGACTCTCCACAATTTCTCGTCATTTGTATCTCTTAATACCTTTTGTCTTTTTATCATCTCTCCCATATTCTGCTCTGGCATCTATTCACTGAAGCTCGCCAGCTAGGCTGTGTTTTGTTTTCCTCTCTCTTACCATCAACCTGTCCTTTGAGTATCAAATTTTCCAAGACCTCTTTCCTCTTTATGTGCCTTAGAAACTTCCACTGTCTCTTTCTGATGCTAACTATAAGTGTACTTTTTGCTTCCATTCTCTCTAGAACTTCGTTGTTGCTCACATGTTCTGTCCATGGTATTCTCATCATCCTTCTATAGAACCACATTTTTATTACTTCAAATCTCTGCTTCATCTGATTGTCCAGCATTCACTGCCATATAGGAGGACTGATACTACATAACAGTTATTCTTTTCTTTGTTTCTAATAATATTTTTCTGTTTCTTAATACTTTGCTCACCTTTTAGAAGGCATCTTTCACGGGAGTCTTTTCCACAAAGTGACAGTTTTATGGAAGACGCCATCTGAGAACTTTCCCTTTACTAAGGCAATACGAAAGGAATGGAAATTATTTGACAAGTCATAACTGTGAAGTAAGGGGGAATTCAGTGATACACCTTTCTGTCGTACACACTTTCAGGTTAAACGACATTTTATCAGACTGCCGGCCATATTTATAACAAAATACAAAAAATTGTGGGTTATTGAGAAGGAGGTTCATCCTCTACTGCTATACCAACAATATGTGCTTCTAACGGCGTGCAGCACCGTTGAGAAGTGGCTGAAAAACTTATACGGATTGACCAAAGTCTTACGAGTGAAATTGAAGTCACAGGTCATATAATAACTGCCTTCATTTCTACACAAGATTAGAACTGAATAAAAAGCAAGGCAGAGAAGAAAGTGTGAAAGTAGGTAATAATAATGTGGAAAGCGAAGAGAAAGCGGATAAAATGAAATGGGTGGGGGTGAGAGTAAAGGAGAGAAACAAACCTAGTGTGAGGAGAAAGAGGGAAAGTAGGTAATAATAAGAAGAGGAAAACGAAAAGAAAAGGGGGATTAGGGGAAATGAGAAGAAAGGAACGGAAAGGAAAGGAAAAATAAACAAGAAAGAGCGAAAGAAGAACAGGAAATAAAGAGAAAGACGAAGTAAAGGAAATGGGAGGAAAGGAATGGAGACGAAAGAAAAAAAGCAGTGGAAAGGATAAAGAAGGTAATAATAATGAGGAAAACGAAGAGAAAAGGAGGTTGAGAGAAAATATTGGAAAAGAAATGGAGGCGAAAGTAGAAAAAGCAAAGGAGAAGTGAAAGAGGGAAATAAGGTACTAAGAAGAGGAAATCGAAGAGATAAGGGAAATTAAAGGGATTGAGAGACGAAGAAAAAAAAAAGAGAGTGATAAGTGAAAAGGAGAAGGCCAGGAATAATAAGAAGAGGAAAACGAAGAGAAAAGGGGAGGAAATAAAATGTGGAGGGGAAGACAATAAAAGAAAGGCACAGACAGAAAAGCTTGCTGTCTTGGGTGTTTATGTTTTTGCGTGAAGTTTTATTCAATATTTCTTTCTTTTGGAGCGTGACGCATAATTTATATAGGAAGGCATGTCACCAGGTTCAACACTAATGTATAGATAGATAGAAAAGAAATTATTTAAAAAATGTAAACTGAACAAAGAATTTTTTTTTAAAAAAGTTGCTTAAATGTTCACGTGTGCGTGTGCTTTTATTTGTGCCTGCGTTTGTGACCTTTCACCCTAAACAGTTAAAATTGTCGTTAACGCTGAGAGAAAACGAAATATTTGTAATTGTTATATTTTCAGTGAGAGAACGAGCAAAGCAAGTTTGAATGTGTGTAATGTAAAATTATTAAAAAGCACAGTCATAGTCGTCGCAGGGGAGGTGAATAAAGTACGCGTTTCTTTTATGCAGTCTTGAGCAATGTTTTATACACGTAGGGCCAATTGCATTAAAAATGATAAATCTTAAAATTTCTATTTTAATTTGTGATCAAAATCACCGGATTTTTAATACGTGCCATTTGTTAACTTTTTTTTAACGATTTTCCTATTATTCTATGTGCCGTGTCCCTTCAGGAAGTGGGCGATTATATCTCTTCAGAATTCCTTGTCCTTTATAGGTCTTAGTAAATTTTGTCTTTTTGTCATATTCCGTAATGTCTGTTTTACCAACCATTTACACAAGTTTGTTAGGTTATTCGATGCTTTCTGTTGCCCACCCCCACCTTGTCTTCAATATTTTCTGTTTGATCACCGAAGTTAAGCAAAGACGAGCCTGGTCAATACTTAGATGGATAATTGCTTGGGAATACCAATTGCTTGGATATGTGATTGGTGTAATGTAGGTAAATATAGCATAGCATGATGAAAAAAGGCCCAAAACTTAATAAAAACAAAATTTTATCATCAAAATGTTTATGTTATTATTAAGAGGAAAAACCAAAGTATTTTTTAATTATCTTTATTAATTTTTTTAATCCTTTCCCGCACGTTCGACATTTTGGTTAAAAATCTTGACGTAATATTTACGATTAGTGTTTTTGCTGCATTTTCCGGCGAAAAACATATTGATTTGGAAATTCTTGGAAAAATCAAATATTTGACGGATTTTAATGAAACTTTCAAGGCTTATTCACAAATGGATGAAATTATTTTTGAAATTTTTTGTTTTAGAAAATCTTGGTAAAAAAAAATATTGTTTTTACATATGTTACCCTCCACTTTCTTAATTTCAAGAAATTTCGAAAAATTAAATTTTCATCACAAATTTTTTTTATTAGTTAAAAGCAGGATTCTTTGGAAAATTTAAATCATCAATTTTTTTTTCAAACCGCTTTACCGAAAAATCTGCTCCGAATCGTAAAATAAAAAAAAATATAACTGACATTATTTAATTAGAAAAGCTTTATTAAGGACACTATTTAAAAGAATTGTTTTCATTTTTTTAAATTTTTTATAATAATTTGTTATAATAATTTTTAAAAAATTTTAATCAAAATTCTACATTAGTTTCCTCTCGTTGGGTGATATTATTATTAAATTTATATATTATCTATATTTACTAATCAAAAATGAAAAGCTTGATATAAAACATTTTGCACAAAGATTTTAAAAATAATTTTTAATTTTTTTTATGTATATAAAAATTACGTAACGTGCCCATTTTTGAAAGTATGGTCGACCATACACGACATTATCAGGAAATAAGAATGATGACTATAGTAAATAGTATAGTCAACATTCGCAAAATTAGATTACGGATAATATTTTCCAACATTTTTAAGATTACTGAGTACTTAAAAAATATATAAAAAAGGCGCTCACCCGTCATATGTTTTAACATATAAAGTCTACATGGAACAACAATAAACATTTCAACACCTTATCAGCACTTTTCATCACTCGCCAATTACGTAAGAATGGCTGCTGTCGGTTAAAAATCACCGCTACTGTTTGTTTTAAAAATTCATTTATGCTATTTTAAACTTAAAGTAAATAATATTTTTTTCAAATCAGATTATTTATACTTTAAATCAGCTAATATTTCTCAAATAAAGTTTCAGAAAAATATATTTTATTTTTGGAAGATTCTTTAATGCAGAGAATTACCTAGCAATGAAAGACGACTAAACAGTTATTTTAGAAAAAGAAGAAAAAATCGATTTGAATTAATATAATTTCTCTTTGAAATACACCAGAGTGTTTTTCATTTATAAAAATGCATTTTAAACCATAGGTATCGAAAATTAGTGGAGATACCTAGTGAAATAGATAACCCGAGAGCCGAGTTCAGGTTTGTTATATTCGCTTATGCGCAAATACGCTTGGAAAGGTATGAATCCATCTCTTCTCTATCCCCCGCTATGGGTTAATTAGCAGGACTTGTATAATTAGGTTATTATTATTTCCAAACCAATTCTCACAATCTAAAAATATTTTCTGGCTTTAAATAATCTGCAAGCAATAAAAAGAAATCAATCAATCAACGTATCCTGTGAGTGTCAAATTCTCCAAGACCTCTTTTCTTATTAGGTACCCTAGGAATTTCAACTATCTCTTTCTGATTCGAAGTATAAGTGTCCTTTTTGTTTCCATTTCCCCTAAAACTTCGTCGTTTCTCGCATTTCAGTCTATAGAATTCTCAGTAGCTTTCTGTAGAACCACATTTATGTTGCTTCAAGTCACCTTCTTTTCTGAGAAGATTATCCAGCATTTACTGCCATATGCGAGGGTAGATATTACATAACAACCCACTAATTCCAGAGCGGAAACAAAACACGTCTTATCATTACGGCTTCCTGTGGGTGACGAGAGAACGAAAAAAAATGAGTGAAAAGACTTTGAGACCTTTCCTTTTATACTGCTTTTTACTACATCACCTAGCGGGCGTTAAGAGAATTCCCCTGACAATCGAGGTGGGGGAATTCCACGAGGCTCCCCACTTTCTTGGAACAATTATCCTTTCACATATTAAGAATTACAGCCATCTTGTCAACAGATTAAAAGATATATAAAATATGTATATTATCAACAGATAAAAAGATATATTAAAAGACTATATGATATATAAATTTATGGACAGTCTAGATATTAAAACCTTATGCCTTAAAGCTGCGATTTTATATTTAATCGTAATGTTAATAGTAATATTAGCTGTTTCCTTATAAGGAGACATTCGGCATTCATTGATCGAACTGCCAATGATACTGTCGCTTGAAGGTTTCTCCGTAGCTAATAATTCTCTTTCCAGTATTAGAGGAGGTTTCCTTCATAACGTTTTGTTTGAAGTAGTGCGAAATGCCAACGTCTTGATTATGTCATTATGTTTTCTTCTTGTTGCTTGTGTTGTCCATTTTAGTTGTTGATGTTGTTGAAAATTCCCAAGAGATGTGGTTTCTGTTATTTGGTACAGTTATTTGTTTGCGATTCTGTAGAACCCGTCCACAAGATTTGATGAAAAATGGTCTTCTAAGACTTATAGGGTTCATTCGCTGGAAGCCATTTTTAATCATTGATCTGAGAAAACGGTTTAATACAGCTAACAGGATAGACATATGTGAACAAGATGGACGCTATGCATGACATCTAGATAAGCGCTTAGAGCTAACCAGACTATTTACGAACATGGCTCAGATTCTTAGGTTAATGTTTTGGTTTTGTAGCATGTTGCGGTGTTAGGTGAGACTACCCTTAACGCATCCTATTTTATGTTCAGTTTCCTTATCACCTATACTAAATTTGTTACAACTAATCATACAAAATTTAAATTGTTAAAGAACATATTAATCTAAATGTTCTATACATTTTGAATATATAACACATAATAGAGATTTTAACATGAGCTACAAAAAATTTAGCAAGCAATTTGTACAAAAAAATGTTAAATAATTAAATCTAAAGAAACCAAATACCATTATAAATTTACTTGGTATATCGTTATATGTCTTAAAGCAGCCGAAGTTCTTTTTACTAATGAGGAAAATAATTTCAAACGGAGTAGATAGATTAACCTATCGCCCGGTTCACACCCCGTCTCTGTGTATTGAACAGGAGTAGAGGGTTATCCCTTGTTTAGGATTAGGTTTCCGGTTCCTTCTGAGGTTTTCTCATTCTCTTTCACGCTCAGTAAACTTATCTTAGTACCATTATCGCCTTGGGATGGAATGATTAAAAAAAAGAAAAAGAATGATCAATATTTGCCCACTCATTGTTTGTGATCATCCCAAACTGATCCATAGTTTCTGAATATTTATTATTCACTTTTCTCTTTAGTACACTCTGACAATTTTTCTTTTATAATATTTAACTTAGAAATCTGGCTTGGAAAATTTGCGAAATGTACGATACCATTAAAAAAAATACTTTGGGATCTTTTGAAGATTAGCGAACCCACTCACGGCAGATTTTGCTATCCTTTACAAGAAGATGACTGGGTTCGTTATTCTTTACATGAGAATAATCGGGTTTGCTGTTCTAGACATGAACATTTTGGTACAAGTAACTTTAAGGTTCAATAGCTATTTTCATATATTGGTTTTAATTTATTAATTCAGATATCCAGGAACCCTCAAAATGGGTAGATCTACGTTCACGGAGGTTGTGAAGCCATTACTTGGGGAAGATAGCTTACCAGTTTGATTGAATAAAGAACAAATCACTTATTCGACGGGAATTAAAATGTGAATCATGAAATATATTCATGAATTGGACACATCGCAGTGCCTCTCTGGACGGTTATGTGGGGAAGTGCCAAATGAAAGACTGTTTACGGTACAAACGAAATGTAGCAATAAGAAAAGACTCATTTTTTACTAAATTAAAACGAAATACGGTTAACAGGTTATTGGGGTTCTATAATGCAATCGCCATATAATATCCTTTCAATAAATAAGTTATTTTAACCGTTTTTTAATGGAAAGTGAATAATATGTTATTTTAATTATTTGCACTATTCGGGCAGTTATCCTCATCTTTGTTGTCATGTTTACGCTCAGGTATTCTTCAAGTGAATGAAATTTTGAACCGAACCTTTTATTTCGTCCATGAGCCATGCCTCTTCCGGATATTTCAGTTTCAGTTATTTCCATTTGACTCAACTTTCCAAGTTATTGTTCACCTGTTGCTGTGGGCCGATAGATGTGAGTGCCAATCGACCGTACAACTAAAAAGGTGGACACAAAGGCAAGGGGATGGCAATAGCAAAGAAGGATGACAAACGCAGATGGTCAGTTGTAGACGATGGAAATCGTGTCTTTATTTGCGAACGGTGGATGGTAAGGCGACATAGGTCGTTTGTTCGGGAACGGTATCCGGACGTTAACGGGCACTGGAACTGGTCGCTGGACGTCAGTGGGCACTGGATTAGATCGTCAGGCGTCAGCGGGTGCTGGAATAGGTAGCGGGACGTCAGTAAAGCGCCGCAGGAGTGAGCTGGAGGCCGCTGGAAGTTGTTGGAGTGAGCTGTTTACGAAAGGTAGGAGTGGTGATCGGACACACTGCGACACACCTTTCACAAACTCACAACTCTGGGTTTAGTTACTGGATTACTTCAAACAACGCTTTTACCCACTGGGCCATGTTAGTACATCAATGTATGAATTTTGGGGTCTTATAAACCTAATATCTCAGTATCATTTTTTCGCCAGAGCTCATATTACAATTTGTTGTTATCATTGTTTTCTCTATAAGAGCTTCAGAAACGGTAGGATCTGTCATATATTTGGGATATTCCTTTATCGAGGAGACGTTGATGTTCTTTGGAATTTATATTTTGATTGTTTGAAATAATTACAACTTTTTTACATCCCCTCGAATTGCTTCCAATAATGTGATTAGTACTGAGTATTTTACAGTTTTAGTATTATATTTTTTAACTAAATCGTGAATTAAAATCTCACATATTGTTTCGTAGTAAGAAAAGTGAAACCCTATAGAAAGTAATATAGTAAAAACTACAGATTAATTGACAATGTGTATTATTCACATATAAACTACATCATTTGATATACATAAAAGTGTATCATTTAATAACCAACAAGAATCAATAGGAGTTGATTTTGTTCTATCACAGGGTTATAACATTTAGGCAAATGGTGAGAATCGAGCTAGTAAACACTTACCAATGAATTGAGCTAATATATATATATATATATATATATATATATATATATATATATATATTACAAGATGTTCGTCAGTTAATCATAATTAACATGAGGCGAATGAAAATATGATTGATAGTAATTCTAACAAAAAAAACATGTGAAACAATATTTATTTTTAGACGAAGTATTATTAATTATAACTAATATTTTCTTTCATCTTCATTTTTAATAGACGTGATACTGTCAACAATTATTGTCAAGTTTTGTATAGTATTTCCTCTCGTTTAAAATTTTGGTTACTCTTTATGACATCGCAAATTACTCGGACCGTCAGTCTACAGCAGAGAGCAAGCAGTGAGGATTGGAATTGACAAGGGAAAGTGAGACATGAACTAGTTAAACTATCAGATTATTATAATTAATATATATATATATATATATATATATATATATATATATATATTCATGATTGATTCTATGTATGATTATTTCTTTATATATAATATATATATATATATATATATCTCTCTCTCTCTCTCTCTCTCTATATATATATATATATATATATATATATATATATATATATATATATATATATATTAGCAAGGAATAAGCGTAATTTAAAAGGCATTTTTAATGTAAATTCTAATAGCCTGCGGGATCTGATATATAACGACTCCAGAACCTTGAGATGAAATGAGGAGTGGGACCTTGATAAGATAGAAAAACGGTCCGCACTAAATTCAGAGACACAATTCCTGCTATTTATCATATGCTCTGCAATAGACGACCCGGATGTATTAACTAGTTGGCCACTACTGGCAGGCGGATTCAAAATCCGGTGGGTAAGTGCTGCTTTATTCTCAAATCCAAGCGTTGAGACGTTCTCCCTATGTACTCGTGTCAACAACTACATACATATTTGTAAATCATTGAATTAACATGATGTGGGGGAAAGACATCCTTACGAATGGAAGAAAGAATTGGTCGATTACCAAATATTACTAGAGCATTAGCTGAAAAATAACAATATATATATATATATATATATATATATAATATATATATATATATATATATATATATATATATATATATATATATACGGGATTTGTTCAAAAAGTTTCCGTACTGATGGTATAGTACCGGAGCTAAAGTATACAGAGGGAAGCCGCTTGGCACTGATTGATCTTGCACTCTGTCGTGCATACACACTAAATTGTAACGTTCTCGATCACTTCCGTAGTTTATAGCAGTGATTAGAAGGAAAGTGTGTAGAGTAGAGTGTGGTCGTCTCATCACACCACAGAGATTCCATAAGTGACAATGGATTGTGAAGCAGTGTTTGGCTAAATACAGCATTCTCCAGGTTCGACAATCACCCATTCCACAGATCTCGTCCTTTATGATTTTTTTCCTCTTAAAAATCATATCCCACTTGAAATGAACGAGATTTGAGGGAATCGAGGAAATCCAAGAGAATGCGACTATCGGGAGCTGTTATTATTGCTTGTGTGTGCGCGCGCGTGCAGTCGAGATTGTGTCAGTGCGTGCATGTGTGTATGTGTCAAATGTGATTATTTCACGTTTTCCTCGTTATATATATATATATATATATATATATATATATATATATATGTGTGTGTGTGTGTGTGTGTGTAGTGATGTGTGTGTGTATTAATATTATATTATCATGTTATCATATATTCTTATTTCTATTTATTAGTAAATATTACTTTTATTTCTAGTTTGAAATGTGTTGCTTTTATCAGTACGCTCAGTTCTACGACTATAAAACAGAAAATAAAATTTAACCTGGGAACTTTTTACGCTAGAAGTCTGTCTAATATGGACCACATCTTCCTAATTAGGACATGGGACCAATCAGCAGCTTAATCAGCATTTAAACATATAGTTAAACTCTTTCTTATCAAACAGACGTTATGCGTAGATATTGTTTGTTTATTATAATTAAATAATATTTCATAAGTCGCCCCAATTTCTTTAGCTGATGCGGGTTCAAATCTTACATCCTTATTTCCAAAAATGTCCTTTGTGTTTTGGTGGAACTTAAAAGGAGTATTTAGAAGTTGATGCAATCTCAGCAAACTCTACAGTGAGCAATTGGCCCGTTTGAATAACGCGTTAGAATTGAAATTATCATTTCTCCGGATAAGGACGTAGAAAACTGTATTTTTGATGCCTGACACTATCTGTGCGTAAATTTCAAATGTGATGATGCGTTAAGTAAACATGTAGCTGCTTCGACATGCTGCGAACTTTACAGACTTGTCAACTTCCCTTCCGGCCACTGTCTCGTTTCATGCAAGCACCTTATTCTGTCAGAGAGTCAACCAATTTCAAGATATCGAAAATTACTCAAATAATTCCTCGAATCAAAAATGGGAATCGTTCTTTCATGATGTAATACACATTTTATCTGAAAGATGATATACGGTCAAAGAAACCCATAGAAAAATATTTTGATGACTGTATGACGATGCAATGAATTTACAGGAATAAAGAAGCTTTTGTATCAACCTAATATGATTTAACAAACAACTTTGTTGAAAGATGTTATATGGTCAAAATATCCTGAAAATGCACTTTGAGGTCTGAATAATGATGCTATGATTACACGGATGGTGTAATGGGTAGCAGATCAGAAATCGGAGAGTTCGAATTCCAATCAAGTTTTGTTAGATTTACTTTCGTCTATGGATGCATACCTTCCCGAGGGTATTCTCTTCTCCCTCGGCTATGAGTTAAATAGTATGACAGACTAGGCGTTTCAGCCTTAGTTGGTAACCAATCTAGGGGAAGAAGAACGTTGAATTCAAAATGGTCTGTAGCCCTGGCAAACGCATACTATGCAGCTAACGAAAGTATCGTGGTGAGTGCAATGGCTCTGTGATCTCGACTGTAGTCGTTTAATCAAACGCTAAATTCATATAAATGAAAGAATGCTATTTGTAAGTTATCTGTTGACACTTTTAAAATAGATTTTCCATTTTTTTCCCCATAAATATAATAATGTAAAAAATTAAACTATACCAAAGATTCATTTAGAAGTTTGAAAAAAAAGAAAAACTAATTAAAAAACATTTTAAACACCACATTTAACTTTATAAAAGATCACCAATACGTAAATTAAAAATGGCAACAGATAACCCACAAGCACCGAAAGAATTTTGTCAGAAATAATACTGAAAACTGTTTATCAACCTAACACGTAACTGTTTCTGCCACAAGGCAGGCCATACAGAAATATCCCAATATGTCGCTTTTGGAAAAGAAGTCCTTACAAAGTCGTAAATCAAATGTAAAATGTGTCAAATGAATTAACCATCACTGAGTTTCGAACTTCAGACAGGATCATGGCGCACAAACTCGGCATTATTCATACTGTGATAACACCTCAACCTTTCGACCCCAACGTTTCATTTATCCGGGAGCCAGCGACCGGCATCGTAGCCAAAAACGTCCCGCCACCCGCTGTCCTAGTTTTACGGAGAAAATAATTTTTCTTCGGCGAGCGAGTGACTTTTTCAAACAAGAAATTGACATGAACATCGGGTTTATATTGTATGACATCGAACGCCAACCAAATGCATTTGCTGTATCTCATTTGACTTGAATACAGCCAAAATTTCTTTTATTTATTTCCCCCTTTATTACACTTCTATCTTTCTCTATTTTCTACCTCTATTCTCTCTCTCTCTCTCTCTCTCTAACCTATCCCTTCAACCATTGTTATTATTGTTCTGTAAAAATCTAGAATTAATAATTTACTTTTTAGTGCCTTGCTGAAAAGCAATAGATAACAAACTAGTTTACTTGTAATAATCCTGACTGTTGTAGAATTCTTACTATTTACTACATTAAGCTTAATAATTACCAAGGCGCCTTAACGTATAGCAGTTGTCAACAAGCCTATTTCTGAAGAAGAGCATTACTGTTGTGATTTCTATCCTCATTAGGTACACCGTACTTATTACTTTGTGTCGTATCGATCCAGGAGTCCCCAAAGCTTTCAAACCCTTCATGGAATTCTTGATACCTCATCGAACTCACAGGCATGTACAAAATATCAATAATAATCATTTTTTATTTAAGGGTAGAAATTACTCTGCTCTTTTTCTTTATTATTGTTTCTCGATAATGTGCATTTTAACTTAGGTACCTTCATGAGATCGCTAAAAAGAGAATAGCATGATGAAAAAGATGCCAAACTTGACGAAAACAAAATTTTATTGTTTAAATGTTTATTTTATTATTAAGAGGAAAGATCAAACTATTTTGGGGGTGTTTTTTTCTTTACATTTTTAACCGTTCCAAGCACATCCAAACTTTTCGTTAAAAATCTTGTTTTTTTAGTCTGCAAAATTGACAGATAATCAATCATGTCAACCATTTTTTCCATTTTATATATAAAAAAGATGAAAATCTCAGTTTGAAAATCTTTTAAAAATCAATTATAATTTTTTCAAAACTTATTTTAAGAAAATCAGACATTATAATGTTTATTTAAAATATTTTGAAACAAGCATTACATTATTGAACTCTGTTTCTGCGCCGAAAAGATGTAGTTTGAAAATAAAACAAAGCAGGTCATAACATTTCGCATCACTTGACAGGTGACGAAAGACATTTTCATGATATATCGATAGCTTACGTGAGGATAAATTATTTAGATTTAAGTGACCACATTATTTACCTTATTTAAGGAAAACTTTCAGCGCTCTAATTTTCTTTTTTTGTACTTAGCCTTCACCTTTACGTTTACGATGCTTTATGGAAAATATATTATAAAGAAATTAAAATAAGACTGCTGAAAGTCAGATTAAATTTCATAAGAACGGTATCTAATTAATTTATAGGTACCTTTCTTATGAAATTTTATCAGAAGTGTACATAAAATACAAATTTAAATTTCATAAGATGATACTGATACTTGTAGGTACCCTTCTCAGTTGAAATTAAAAAATCAATTAACTTCTCCACACGTGTTTCGTAAAAATAAATCTATCTCAAAAGGACACTTACGAAACTGAATGTGGCTTTTAACTAATTTTATAATATTTTAACAACTTAAATGCAAAAATCTATTATAATTAAAGAAATAAGAAATAATTTTATTAAAAACTCAGTATTTTTAAGTTAAATACTAGACAGAAACTCAATCCACGTGACGTTTTTTTTGTTATTGCACGCATGATACTTCCGGTCTTCCGTAGATTTGATTTGCAGTCGTATTATTAACAAAAATTATTTTTTATTTTATATACTGGTGTTCGTTAGTTTGTAAGAAGCTTCGGAAATTATAATCTGTAAATATATATCTACTTAATAACAACATTCGTTAAATTCTACAAACCTTTCTCTAATTTTATAAGAATTAACAACATTTAATGTAAAAATAATAAAATATTTCAGAAATAACAAATAATTGTTTTAAAAATTCATTTTTCATCAAAATATCTTTTTGCTTTCAGACAATATTGTCCATGTTCATTAAAATAAATAAAAACAATTAAAAGCTTTTGAAATTAAATAATATTTTTGTTTTATTGAGTTTTGTATGTTACAATTTAGAGATGATTTTCAGGTAGAGGTGGTCCAACTAAAAAATAAAAAAATAAACAACATTATTTGGTTTCCTCAAAGCCTTGTGCTTTTAACTAAGATAATCACTAATCTGCCTAAAATTGGAATTAGAGAGTTTTCGTACAATTAGTTTGTGGGGGGGGGGATACATATGAAAAAAATATTTTTGCCATGACTTTAAAAAAGGAAAACTTATTTATAATAAGTTCCATCATTTGTGAATAGTTTCTGAAAGTTTCATTAAAATCTGACAATTATTTTTATTTTTGTAAGATTTTCCAAATTAATGTCTTTCATACAAAAAAAAAAAAAACGTGTTAAAATTTATGTTATTTTACTAGTTTCGGTGATACAAAGAGAAACAAGGTTTTTTTAATCAGAATTTAGAATATTCTAGAAAGAAGGAAAAATTTTAAAAAATAATTAAAAAATACTTTGGTCTTTCCTCTTAATATTAACATAAACATTTAGACGCTAAAATTTTGTTTTCGTGAAGTTTAGCGTCTTTTTCATCATGCTATGCTTTGTTTTTAGCGATCTCATGAAGGTACCTAACGTTTTCTTCTTTCTTTTTTTTCAATTTTTGCAGCTCAAGACCAAAGCCACACAACCAGATCCTATTGCTGTCACATAATCAAGGATTGAACTCCCGAAATGCAGGATTTGCGGAAAATATGATGAAACTGTCGACCATATTATCTCAGGATGTCCGAAACTAGCATAAAATGAATATACCCACAGCATAACAAGATAGCGACATATGTGCACTGAAAGATATGCAAGAAGCACAAAATCGAAACCACTGAAAGATGGTATGAGCACCAACCAGACATAGTTACCGAAAATAACGATGTAACTATCCTCTGGGATATGCCAATTTAAACTGACAGGGAAATAAAAGCCAATAGACATGATATTAACATAAAAGACAAGAAATTCAGAAAGTGTATGCTTATTGACATAGCAGTACCATCTGAGGGAATACCTCCATGAACATTATCGAGAAAATGTCGAAATACAAAGACCTGGAGATCGAGATTAACAGGATGTAGCGAATGAAGACTGGGACTGTACAAACAGTAATCGGAACTCTGGGCCTCGTGAGAAAAGGAATGGACAATTTTACTAACAGCGTCCCAGGTAACATCAACATTCAAGTTGCCCGGAAGATCGCACTACTAGGAACATCCCATATATTAAGTGCCAATGACAATTCTCGTATAGGGCAATAATGACTATGGTTTGGACCCGGCTCTACAGGATACAAAGCAGGGAACATACGCAAATAATAACAATAATAATAATAATAATAATGAGAAAAGTTTCGTGTTTAGTAACCATATTAAAAATAATTTCCCTTTATTCCTTTTTATTGATACCGTTGAATGGGAAGGATATGTTTGATGATGTGTTTGATATATTTATCTACTCCTTTGTTAAACTAGGAATTTATCAACCTCCTTTCAACCCCCGTGTATTTATCAACCTTCTGGTTAGTCCCATCAATCCCAATGGGTAGATATAGACAACTTTGGAGAGCCCTGTACTAAACCAAATGTTTTCAAGCAAATCATGGATCTTAATGTTTCAGGAGCGAAATAAGACCACAGGTCGGTAGATTTAAATTGTTGGAATACTAATATTTTTAAAACAATAATTCGACATTGCCGGTAGCGAAAGTGGGACCATTTTGAAGCGAGTGCATCTACTGACTTTTGTCGACTTAGCCGATCTAGACAATCTTGGAAGGTATGAAGTATGGCCTTCTGGTATATATGTATGTTTTTAATCATTTCCCATCAAGCAAGGCAATAAAGTCACTAAGGTGCAAGGGTTTACTGAGTGTGAGAGAATGTGAGAAAAATAAAGACATTATTAAGGAGAGAGAAAAATAAAAGAACTTGAATTAAGAAGTCGGGAGTTAACGATTGACATTGCATTTTAGTTTTTTAAGATTAAAGTTGATTGGAAATCAGGAAGCTGGAAGAGACTTTCATAAGCGAAAAATGTGAGAGAAAAAAACTGTTAGCATAGAACTTACGGTTACATCTAACCATTTCAACCTTAAAATAATTAGACATATCCTGCCAATCTAGTTCTGCGCTTAAATTCATAAAGTCCAGGTACCAAAGAGGAAAGTGCCTCAGAATAATCACCATGTAATTATTTATAGAAAATGCACAGGGAAGCTATGTTACGGCGGTGGGAAAGTGACTGATGCCACAATGCTAGGTCACGACCAGTAATTTTGTAAATTTTTCTTTGTATTTTATCAAGAATCTTTAGATACATAGCAGAAGCACCAGAGCAGATTTGACAGCAATATTCAATGAATCATGAAAAGAGTTCCTACTCAAAAATGTTTGAGAATGACGAAGGCTAAATATATGTAATTATCAGGGAAGATGCACGCTATAGAACAAAGTTTAGCTAAATAATCTCCCAGGTCATTATTACTTATGTGAGTTCAAACCTCAATAGATGTTCCATATCTAAGCCGTATAAACTAAGTCTTAGCCGTATTAAGCTAGACTTAGTAAATATTAAGGTGCATCGCCGTGAAACAGAAGTTAAACTAGTTTTGTAGATCACTATTACTGTACTGATGTTTATCCTTATAATCTGGGCCGTCTTAAGATAAGTTTACTAAATAAAAATGATTAACTTCTACTGTAGTGATGAAGACGCGAATCGAATGTAAATACTTTTGTGGCTAAAGGATAAAAAATAGTTTCTGCGCAGCTAGATCACGCAGTGCTTCAGTTTGGAAAGAAAAATAAATCAAAAAAGATATTTCAGTTAATAAAATATTTTCTTCTTCTTCTTCTTCTTCTTCTTCTTCTTCTTCTTCTTCTTCTTCTATGTGCCTTGTCTTTTCAAGACGTTGGAAATAATGGCTCTCCACAATTTCCTGTCCGTTATAGCGTTCAATGAAGTTGTTTTTGCTATCTCTTCTAATCCTTGTTCTGCCAACCATGAGTAGCTTGTGCGCTGTTTTCCGCTCTCAATATGTCATGTGAG